CCCGTTAAGGTATTAAAGCGCGGAATGGTCTCGTTTACTTATTGCATGCTATTACCCGCCCCAATCCTACCAGCCCCGGAGGTACTTGGGACTACTAATCCTAAAGGGAGGAGATATTGGCTTATTTGTGGTTTCAAAAGGGTAAAATACTAAGGCAACGGGCAAAACCACATATAGCAAGTTTGGGGAAAGCACATAAACAAATAAAAGGCTCAAATACACCTCCTTTAAACAGAGAAAGCAAGTGATTAGCATGACTTACACATACTGTTTAAGGTCTAATTAAAACTTAAAGGTTGAGGCGGACTGATTTAATACATAGTTCAGATAAGAAGCCCGAATCAGGCCTGCCTGCTGGTTGTAGATAATAAAATCTGATTCAGTTTATAATTTTAGCCCTAAGGCTTGCCTAGGTGTTGGACGAGGACCCTATAGGCATGATATCTACTGATTTTAGAAACAATGAAATAAACTGAATACATACTGATTTAAGAAAGTCGTCAGTTATTAAAGAAAGCAAGTTTTAGCAAGAGATCATAAGTTCTGCAACTGATGGTCGTCGTTATTACTGGTTTTAGACTTATAAGCGAGTGAAGAGATTCAGACTTGATTAATAACCCCAATAGACATGCTTCCTATGCGTGTTGATTTTAAACCCCTTTTAACAGACATGGTAAAATACAGAAAACCTATAAGCATGATATCTGTGTGCTGAATTTCATTTAAAGCCTATGAACATGATATTTACTTGCAGTTGATTGATTAAGACCTGTAAACATGATTGCCTGATGAAGAGTGTGTATGCAAGATTCAGAAAGACCTATAGGCAAGTTATCTATATGAGAGTGCAGAAATTCAAAAACTCCTATAGGAAAGCTATCTATATGAGGGTGCAGAAATTCAGAAACTCCTATAGGTAGGATATCTACCCCTTTGCATACATGGTTACCCCTCCCTTTTTCACTAGCCATCCCCGAGAGTTTTATTACAAAGTTATTATAGCCCAGAATGAAGATAAAAGAAAATACATCAGAAATTAAAAAAAAGTACAACCAAGGAGAGCCTGATTCAGATTTCCTGTCTGAAGTATGACGTAAACCAACTCCAGGAGATCATATTTCAAAGCCTTTCTCCCATTTGGGGTGTGTCAAAGTTCCCTAAGAGTCTCATATGAACTCCGGGCAATGCTTACACCCAAATGTATCACCAGATTAAGACATAGTGCAGTGTGGAAGGGTCAGCCCTCAAGTGTCCAAGTTTAGAGGGAACTCAAGGTCCCAAGGCAAGGCTCACAAGAGGGGGGCAGAACTTAGGGACTAAGAAAGAGTGCAAGTGCAGAAGTAGAATTCTGAAAGGGGAAAGGGAAAAGGGAAAGGAAAACAACTTAAATCAGTACACATAAGGGTATAGGGGGATGTGGGAGTTGCAAAAGGCAAAAAGGCAGGCTGATGGGCATACCCAGCAATGGGAGATGCTGGCACACCCTAGGCCTGTTAGAACGTAGTGTTTAGAGGTTAAGACCCCCATGGATCAAACTTAATTCATGGACAACAACTTACATTGCCATGCTTTAAGTCATAACTCAAAACACATAGGGGTGATAAGGGAATGGGGGTTCATAACAAACAAACAAAAGGAAATCAGCATGCCAATTTAAGTACTGAGATATACAGAAGCAGCAAGCAAACATGGACACACAAGCAGTAAATACACATTGTTGTAGTGCTAAAAATTAAATCCGGACATAACAGTTTTAGAGATACAAACAAAGAAAAAGCAGTAGGTCTTGTGAACGGGCCACAGTGCAGACAAGAAGAGAATATTATTGTGTGTGAGTATGAGTTCAGAAGGATTCTCCATTGTCTGCTGTGTGTTAAATAGTCGTGCATTTATAGTATTGAAAATCGGGCAGAAATAAGGTAAGAAAATAGTTATGGAACTGAGTACCAATCAAGGATCAATCACATAAGACTTCCTTTAATTAAGGAATTTAGATTCAAACGGGTCAAAACTATTTGTGCCCGGCAAGTAATTAGGGGGGAATACATAAAAGGTTATTTAAGGACAGGGTTTTGAAGTACATGGTTGTACAAATAAGGTAAGAAAATCAATTGACAACCAGTAAATCAAAGAATCAGGGATTTGGTAATTACTGACCCATGAATGAACCAAGTCGCAAAAGCTAAGAAGGGTTTTAACTTAGGTCGAGTCACAGAGAGAATCAGCAAACAATGGAAAGAAATCAATCAGACCATATTCAGAGGGAAGTATGAACTAATCACAAATTTGAAAGCCACTTTAGAGGGAAGTTCATCATTTATAAGGAGCATATGAACATGTTAAGCATGAAAGAATATTGTCGTGTCATTGTAAAATCAGTAGAAAAATCCAGTGTAGAAGAGTTTAGCAAAAGTCAGAATCATATGAAAACAAGGATGTCCAAACTCAGTTCAGAGACTCGAAGTGGGTCTGAAAGAGTTAGGGGCTTTGAAATAAAGCCCTAGTTCAAACAAATCACATAACCAAACTTGGGAGAACCCCCAAATTCTAGGGTTTCCACCATTAATCGGGTACAAAGATGAGAAGGCAAGTGATCGAAATAGACTCAGAGGTCTCAGAGAAGAAACTGAAACCTCTTGCATGTTTCTTTCAGCAGCAGAAACTCATGAGAAAACAGCGATAGCAAGTAACACGCAGAACATAGTATAAGAATTCAAAGAAAATAGAGTAGAAGAAACTTATACGAAACACAATGGAAAAACTGATAAGAACAGTAGAAGAAGCATGCTAAGCAGTTTTTAGAAGACACTTAAACAGAGCTCAGCAGATGGAACTTAATAAGAAACACTTTAAGAACATAATAACGGAAAATACAGTAGAAGAAACACACCAGAACATAGTATAGGAAAATACAGTGGAAGAAATATACAAGAAGGCATACGAGAACACAATACAGTAGAAGAAGTATACATGAACACAGTAGAAGAAAATACAAGAGCACAGTAGAAGAAAATACAAGAACACGGTAAAGGCAAATACACACAAAAGAAAAAAAAAAGTCAGAGAACATTTCAAAAAACCCTAGATCGGAAAAGAAATGGTTTTGAAAGTAATTTTTGAAAGAAAAGTCAGGAAAATCGTTTAAAAGCTTAGGGAACGCATAAATACACAACGGATCTAAAGGAATCAGAAAAACCTCGAAGGGTTAGGGTTTCAAAAGAACCCTAGTAGTGAGAAAGCATTGAAAAGTCACCGATCTAAGTCGGAGAAGTCAAAATTAGGCTCGAGCAACCATAGTACGCCGGAGTAAAATCGGAGATGGCCGTGGAACTCGAATCGAACGAAGCCTAGACCAAACCTCGTTATGGCCAGGCCTTGAATCTTCAAAAATCAGGCGCGTGGGAGTCATAGGAGGCCGGTGTAGGGCTTCCATAACCTTGGAAGCCATGGATTCTGGTGGCTTTCAGGGCGGAAGTGGTGGTTAGGGTTTGAGAAGCTTCGAGAGAGTTTGAGAGAATGGAGGGTTCAGAGGCGGCTGGTAGGTGGAAAATGAGAAGGGTTTGGGGTCATTTGGAGTTAATTAAGGAAAGGGGAACGTGAGCCGTTGATCTAACGTGAGCCGTTGATCTGTTAGATCAACGGCTGGGATTTAAAGGGGGGTTGGGTGGGTCGTTTAAACGGGCTATGGGTGGGGTAATTATAGGAATTAGGATAGGGTTCAATTAGGGTAGAATTTAGGCTACAATCGAAATGAAATCTGGCTAGATTTTAAATAGCCATTTTCCCCATTTATTTTATGAAAATAGCAAATTAAATTCTGGAAATAAATTGAAAGTACTAAAAATGATTTATAACATATAAGTATTAAATTAAAATACTGGAATCAATTTTGTAAGTATAAAATGCAATTAAATCTTAAAATAGGCTAATGTTGCAATTATATGCAATTTAGCATTAAAAATACTAAATATATTTGTAAAAATATACAAAAATTATGTTAGCTACATTTTAGTATAAATATAAAATTCCAATAACTAAATTACCAAAAAATAATAATTTTGAAAATAATCATTAGGCTTTTATGGATGAAAAAGAGAAATAAATCAGGTTAAAACCTTAAAAATTATGGGAAAAATAATAAAATGCTTGGACATACTTATACGAGCATATATATGCTATTTTGAAGATATTCTGCACAACAGCAGCCCAGTGTGGTCCCACAAGTGGGGTCTGGGGAGGGTAGGATGTACGCAGCCTTACCCCTACCCTGGAAGGGCAGAGAGACTGTTTCCGATAGACCCTCGGCTAAAGAAGGTGAGAGAAGTCCTGGTAGCAAGTAATAGAAAAACAATAATTAGGAAACTAAATCGGAGATAGCAACAGATAGTATGAAAGGGGTACTGATAACAAGTAGCACCAAGATAACATATTTAGAAAACTAATTCCAAGGCTGTAAACTACGGAATTACCAATGGCAAGTAACAACGAAATGAGACATGCGAATATAGAAAACTAAGGAGAAAAAAGGGTACCGAACTAGCGTTAATACTATCGAGCTAGAGAAGACAAAGGGAGATGCACGACTACCAACTAACCTTCTACCCTAATGTTCAACCTCCACACCCTTCTATCTAGAGTCATGTCCTCGGTTAGCTCAAGTAGCGCCATGTCCTGCCTGATCACCTCTCCCCAAGACTTATTTGGCCTACCTCTACCCCTCCTCACACCTCCTAAGGCCAACCTCTCACACCCCTGACAGGGGCATCTGCGCTTCTCCTCTTAACATGCCCGAACCACCTCAACCTTGCCACACGCATCTTTGCCTCCACATGGGCCACTCCCACCTTGTGTCGAATAACTTCATTCCTAATTCTATCCAATCTAGTATGCCCACACATCCATCTCAACATCCTCATTTCTGCTATCCTTATCTGTTGGACATGAGAGGTTTTGACTGGCCAACACTCAGCCCCATACAACTTAGCTAGTCTAACAACTACCTTGTAGAACTTACCCTTGAGTTTCAACGGCACCTTCTTATCACACAAGACAACGAAAACGAGCCTCCACTTCATCCACCCTGCTCCGATACGGTGTGTAACATCCTCATCTATCTCCCCATCCTTCTGGATTATAGATCCCAAATACTTGAAACTCTCTCTCCTGGAAATGACTTGCGTATCGAGTTTCACATCCTCGTCCGCCTCCTGGGTAACACCGCTGAATTTGCACTCCAAGTATTCTTTCTTGGTCCTGCTCAACTTGAAACCCTTAGACTCCAGGGTATGTCTCCAGACCTCTAGCCTCTCGTTAACGCCACCTCGTGTCTCATCAATCAGGACTATGTCATCCGCAAATAGCAAGCACCAAGGCACCTCCCCCTAAATGTGACGTGTCAAAGAATCCAACGCCAAGGAAAACAAAAATGGGCTATGTGCTGATCCCTGATGTAACCCCATCTCAACCGGAAAGAAATCTGAGTCTCCACCTGCTGTCCTAACCCGTGTCTTAGCTTTATCATACATGTCCTGAATCACTATAATATACGCTGCAGGCACTCTTCTAGCCTCCAAACATCTCCATAGAACCTCTCTGGGGACTTTGTCATAGGCCTTCTCCAGGTCAATGAAAACCATGTGCAAATCCTTCTTCACCGCCCTATACTGCTCCACCAATCTCCTCACAATATGAATGGCCTCAGTGGTCGACCGTCCCGGCATGAAACCAAACTGGTTCTCAGAAATGGACACACACCTCCTCAGCCTCCCTTCAATCACCATCTCCCACACTTTCATCATATGGCTTAACAACTTGATACCCTATAGTTGTTGCAGTTTTGAACATCCCCCTTATTCTTGTACAGCGGGATCATCGTGCTCTACCTCCATTCTTCGGGCATCTTCTTCGTCCTAAAAATGACGTTAAACAACCCAGCACGCCATTCCAAACCCTCCTTACCCACGCTCTTCCAGAATTCTACCGGGATCTCGTCAAAAAAAATAGATAGGGAAAAATTGGGTATCAACAGCTGCCCCTCTTTACGCGGGAAGGATGAAAGAGTTGTCGGTTAAAGACATGATGACCAATTTTGACCGAACGAAATTTTTTGAAGAAATTTGGCCGTGCCCTGGCTTATGAGCTGCCTACATATCCCTGGTTTTACAGGAATCAGGCCCTATGTAGTTCGGGATCCGTCGGCGGAATATGCCGGTGGAGACGTTTCAAGAACGGACGCAATATTCAGGTTGGGATGAATGGTTAAGGTCTGATAGGGCTGCGGGAATTAGAGCGGAATTGCTCCTGCCGAGATGGCCGTTGCTCGCCGGTTTACCTGCAAATGAGAAATACAAGCATATATTGTGCGTAAATTTAAACATGATGCAAGTTCCCGTCGGACCATGAATGTTGTCTTTGGACGGTTAGGATGACGTCTTCAGACCATGATGTCCTGGGCCATGAAGCATATAATAAAGGATTCGCAGGCTATGAGATGATGCTCTCGGGCTATGAGAATGATGCCTCCGTACCACGATGCCTTTGAATAATGATGTGCAAAAAATTAAAGGGATCTTCAGGCCATGACATGGTGTTCTTGAGCTATGTAAATGGTGCCTCCGAACAATGACGCCCTCAGATAATTTGGCGATCTTTCAGCCCATGAAATGCAGTATTTGGCGATATTTCAGCCCATGATATGCGATAGGTGGCAATCTTTCAACCATGCAAATGTAAATGAAGCAACGATCTTTTAGCCGTGCAAATGTAAATAAAGTAGCGATCTTTCAACCATGCAAATGTGAATAAAGTGGCGATCTTTCAGCCGTGCAAATGTAAATAAAGTGGCGATCTTTCAGCTGTGCAAATGTAAATAAAGTGGCGATCTTTCAGCCGTGCAAGCGTAATTGAAGTGGAGATCTTTCAATCGTGCACATGCAGATGAAGACAGTGTTTAGCCTCGGAAGGCAGAATGGTAGCCTTATGCAATGCGGAAAATGCAGATGGAGACAGTGTTTAGCCTCGGAAGCAGAATGGTAGCCATATGCAATGCAGAAAATGCAGATGGAGACAGTGTTAGTCTCGAAAGGCATAATGGTAGCCTTATGCAATGCAGAAAATGCAGATGGAGACAGTGTTTAGTCTCGGAAGGCAGAAAGGTAGCCTTATGCAATGCAGAAAATACAGATGGAGACAATGTTTAGTCTCAGAAGGCAGAATGGTAGCCTTATGCAATGCGGAAATAAAAATAAAGTGGCAGATGGTAATAGAGTTTCTTAGCTGATAACAAGCTTTGATGTTGGGATCGCTGGGGATATTGTGATACAGGGGATATCACTGACGTGCGTGGATGGCAAATACCGAGGAAGTATGGCAATTCATGAATCGATGTTTGTCTTTTGGGTGTACAGTATACCATATGCTTTCGCAATCCGAATGCCTGCATCCAAAGAAAAATCGTGAGTTTTGTAGTGGGGAGGTTAGTTCGTATTCTTGCTGGCCTTGCTTGACCTGTTCGGCTTTGGTCTGGTGATGCGGTATGTATTATTGGGGTAGCATTGCTGAACAAAGCGATTTCGATGAGTCAAGAAATAGCTTTTCAGATGAACCAACGACTGTGACGTGGTTCAGGACATTTCAACCTCTCCTGCTACGGAATTTTGAGGGTCCTCCTCAAAATTCTGCCCCAGTTTAATGAGTTGATACTCCTGACGGCTGCTTGCGATGACTGGCTGAAATTACTTCAGAATTTTGAGGTTCCTCCTCAAAATTCTGCCCCAATTTAATGAGTCGGTACTTCTGACGGGTGCTTGTGATGACTGGCTGAAATTACTTCGGAATTTTGAGGGTCCTCCTCAAAATTCTATGTCATTTTCCAATTGCAGGGGAAAATGAAAATTTTATTGAATTGTGACCGAACCCATAAGGCTGCCTACGTATCCCCTCTTAAACGGGAATCAGGTCAGATGTAGTTCAAATTACATCATATAGGAAAACATGGGATTACAGATAGTAGCACTTGACTGCATCTGAATTGATTGGTTTTGGCCATTCTTCCTGTCCATTTCTGCAAGTATAAGGGCTCCTCCTGTTAGAACCCGGTGAACCATGTATGGACCCTGCCAGTTAGGAGAGAATTTCCCTTTGGCTTCATCTTGATGCGGGAAAATTTTCTTTAACACCAGCTGCCCCGGTGTGAACTGTCTCGGCTTGACCCTCTTGTTGATGGCTTTGGTCATTCTATTCTGATAAAGCTAACCGTGGCAAACTGCATTCATCCTTTTTCCATCTATAAGAGCCAGCTGCTTGTAACGACTTTTCACCCACTCTGCATCGTCGAGTTCTGCTTCATGTATGATCCTTAAGGAGGGAATTTCTACCTCGGCGGGAATGACTGCCTCTGTACCGTAAACCAGCATATAGGGGGTCGCCTCGGTTGATGTGCGGACTGTGGTGCGACACCCTAACAGACCAAATGATAGCTTTTCGTGCCATTGCTTATGTTTCTCTATCATTTTCCTTAATATCTTCTTGATGTTCTAGTTGGCGGCTTCTATGGCTCCGTTCATCTGAGGCCTGTAGGCTGTGGAATTCTTGTGTTTGATCTTGAAGGTTTCACACATGGCTTTCATTAAGTCACTATTGAGGTTGGAGCCATTATCAGTAATGATTGACTCCGGAATCCCGAGCAGACAAACGATACGGTCGCGGACAAAGTCTGCCACGACTTTCTTAGTCACTGCTTTGTAAGATGCTGCTTCGACCAATTTGGTGAAATAGTCGATTGCTACCGGGATGAACCTGTGCCCATTGGATGCGCGGGTTCGATTGGTCCAATAACATCCATTCCCCAAGCGGCGAAAGGCCATGGTGAGCTCATTGCATTAAGCTCATTGGGAGGTACCTTTATCATGTCTGCATGTATCTGACAGCGGTGGCATTTCCTGACTTACTGGATGCAGTCCGTCTCCATAGTCATCCAAAAGTAACCAGCCCGGAGTATTTTCTTTGCTAAAACAAAACCGTTCATATGTGGACCGCAGGTCCCGGCATGAATTTCCTCTAACAGTTTGGATGCTTCTTTTGCGTAGACACATCTTAATAATCCCGAATCAGGAGTCCTCCTATATAGGATTCCCCCGCTGTGAAAGAAATTGTTGGACAACCTTCGAAGTGTGCGCTTCTGAGTAGTGCTTGCATGTTCTGGGTATTCTCCTTTTGTCAAGTATTCCTTGATATCCTGAAACCAAGGTTTTTCGTCTGCTTCTTCCTCAACATGGGCACAGTAAGCTGGCTGATCATGGATCTTTACTGGAATGGGATCAATGAAGTTTTTGTCTGGATGTTGTATCATGGATGTCAGGGTAGCCAACGCATCGGCGAACTCGTTCTGGATTCTGGGAACATGTTGGAATTCCGTCTCTGTGAACCTTTTTCTCAGTTCTTGCATGTGGTGTAGATACGGGAGTATCTTAGAGTTCTTGGTTGCCCATTCTCCTCGTACCTGATGTATAAGCAAATCTGAATCCCCGATCACTAGCAATTCTTGAATGTTCATGTCAATGGCCATCTTGAGCCCTAGGATGCAGGCTTCATATTCAGCCATGTTGTTGGTGCACGGGAACCTGAGCTTAGAAGACACCGGATAATGCTGACCGGTTTCTGATACTAGAACTGCTCCTACGCCAACTCCCTTGAAATTTGCTGCTCCATCGAAAAACATTCTCCAACCATCATAGGATTCCGCAATATCTTCTCCTACGAATGATACCTCTTCATCAGGAAAATACGTCTCTAGCGGTTCGTATTCTCCATCCACGGGGTTTTCGACAAGGTGATCTGCTAGTGCCTGTCCCTTGATTGCTTTCTGAGTCACGTAGACAATGTCGAATTCGCTCAACAGGATTTGCCACTTGGCGAGCTTGCCAGTGGGCATGGGCTTCTGAAAGATGTACTTCAAAGGATCCATCCTTGATATGAAATATGTAGTATAGGCACAAAAGTAGTGCCTCAGCTTCTGGGCCACCCAAGTTAGAGCACAATAGGTGCATTCTAGCAAAGAATACCGGGTCTCGTACGGAGTGAACTTCTTGCTGAGATAATAGATGGCCTGTTCTTTCTTTCCCGTTTCATCATGCTTGTCACACCTCCTTTTTTACACACCCGAAGGTGGTATAAGGGAGTTTTTCCAATTTAAGTGACATTATTCGAAATGAGATTATTTATTTATTTTTATTCAGAGTCGCCACTTGGAATATTTTATTGGTGTCCCAAGTCACCGTTTAATTTTAGAATCCCAAATCGAGGAAAATTCGACTATCCTTTTGAAGTCTGCGAACCGGAAATTCTGAATAAGGAATTCTGTTAACCCGAGGGAAGGTGTTAGGCAGCCCCGGATGCCGTGGTTCTAGCTCGGTCGCTTAAACTATTATAATTGGCCTATTATCTGATTTTAATACATGTTTTAACCTATGATATATATTAACTTATTAACCGCTTTTAATTATATTTTTAAGGAAGATTTCAACGTCATCTAAAACACGTCTTTGGACCGCGCCACATGAAATGCACCCGCAGTCCTCGACACATTTTATTTAACATTGTTAAGATTTGAATTTGGGTCACATGAAATGCACACCCGAGTTTAGGGAAGTAATTTTTAAAATAGCGCGCCTAAAGCAACTGCGCACTTTCAACTTGCGAGGGCCATGGAAAATTCAACTAAATGGCATGCCTCGATTTCTAAGGATTAAAATATTAATTAAGCGAGGGCCATGCATTTTGA